TCTGGATTTGAAGGAGTTTAGAGAAGGTGACTCTCTGATATCCTTGGGGAGAGAGTTCCAGAGCTTGGGGGCATAACAGGAGAAGGCCCTGTCACCCATAGAGTGTAGACGGGCTTGGGGGACCGACGGGAGACCAGAATTAGAATAGCGAAGGTTTCGAGGTATCAGACAGATACTGAGGTGCCAAGCCATGCAGAGCCTCATAGGTGAGCATGAGGATTTTGAAGTTGACACGAACCTTGACAGGAAGTCAGTGCACAGACTCCAGGATAGGAGTAATTTGATCACTTCCACTAAACTTGGTAAGGATTCTGGCTGCCGAATTTTAGACATACTGGAATTTGTTCAATGTGGATTTAGAAAACCCAGAGAGTACAGCATTACAGTAGTCGATTCGGGAGAAGACAAATGTGTTGATCGGCTTTTCATCCACAGTTAGTGATAAAATAACATAACTATAACTATAATTGTAACTGAATGAAATACCAAAATTTATAATTGACGTAGCAGGAACCATATCATGCAGTAATTGTACATTTAGACTGAATGCAAGTACCCTTTCTAGTCAATCCAAAAGGTTCAAGGTGTTTAATTTTTCTATCAATATACATCACAGTGCCTTGCAAAAGAAATAACCAAGCTCCTTCCAATGATGTCAATTTTGTTGAATTACTAATGACATACTGTATACATATTTTCAAAGTGAATAATTTAATTAAAGCTATGCACAAAATGAACACTATTATTGGTAGAAAATTTTAAATACAGTGCCAGCAAAAACTGAAAAGAAATATTGAAAACTAAAATTTCCTGATTGAATATGTACTAACTCCTGAGTCAATATTTGATAGAAAGTTAATACGCAGATGGATGCGAAGGATGTAATTGTACTGAGCTGCACAAAGCTGGTTTCCCGATTTCTTTTGGACAAGTTTGATGATTTGTTGTATCAGAACATTTCAGTCTCAAGGAATTTTGCCTAACAGATAACCCACGTTCTATCATGCTGATAGTAACCACGCAATTTTATTACTGAAGCAGGGCATAACTGTATCTTTT